TGTTTGTATCTGTTTTATGGATTCCATTTGTTTCCTATGTTGGGATTCCATCATGTTCCTCAGCTCCTCTATTTTTTTTATCTGTGTCCTCTCTAAATTTCTTAATCATGCCTTGCACTATGGGCACAATCTCTGCTGTTATCTGAGAAATTATTTCTGATTTCATTTTTTCTAGATCCTCTTTTGTTGCCAGTTCAAGGGAGTCCAGGTGGTTGAGTATCAAGAGTGTCCCATCTCCTTTCCCTTTGGGGTTGCTGTAGGTGATCTCGAAGTCTGGTTTTGAGACTTGTTTACGTGTCTTCTCATTCCATGGGGGGGTTGCTGTTGGCGCCCACATGGCTCACCTCCTCTGTGCCAGGAGCAGTGGAACAGCAGCCCAGAAGCCCCTTCCTCTGGGCTGCGAGCAGTGGAATGGCAGCCTGGAAGCCCTTACGTCTGGTCCATCTCGCGCATTCAACTGGAACTTCCAGGAGACAGGAACTGAGTCAAATTCCTTTCAGGGAGACAGATCTTTTTCTTTCTTTCTTTCTTTCTTTTTTTTTTTTTTTGGTACCAGGGATGAAACTCAGGACCTTGTGCTCGAGAGGCAGGCAGTAGCACCACTGAGCTAAATCCCCAGCCCTCAAATTCCTTTCAGAGTAGTCAGTATCTAGCTCAGTAAATGCTTGTTAAACTGAATTAAAATTACCATATATTATCTCCTATAGAATCAGAAATAAGGGGGACCATTGGGAACATCATAAAAACAGAACACTGATTCCGTGTAAAAACAATTTATTATCATCATTATTATCACAGCTACTATTATTGAGCACTCTATGCAGCAGACACTATGCTTGATGTTTTACATGGAGAGGCAAAGTATATATTTCACCTTTTTTACTGACTAGCTGCACCACTTTGGGCAAGATTCCTAACTCTTCTGGTGGAAAGTAATTTAATGGCACCACTCTCACAGCAGTGTTGGCAGGACTGGCTAAAATATTACATATAAAGTACCTACCAGTGCCTAACATAGAGAAAATGCTCAATAAATGTTAAATAGTTGCCAAGCGTGGTGGCACATGCTTATAATCTCAGCACTTGGGAGGCTGAGGCAGGAGGATTGCCATGAGTTTAAGGCCAGCCTGGGCTACACAGTGAGTTCAATGCCACCCTGAACTACAAAGCAAAACCCTGTCTCAAAAAGCCAAAAACAACCAAAAAAAGGAAAATGGCATCACGACAAGGATTGATATATTTAATTATAAATTCAATCTGTATAGCAATTACATGCAAAATAATTACAATGATATAATTTAAATATAGTTTATAATTAAATATTGCTCTCTCTCTTTTTTTTTTTTGGTACCAGGGATCGAACTTGGGTCCTTGTGCTTGTGCAGCAGGTGGCAAAACCACTGAGCTAAATCCCTGGCCCTTGCTCTCTTTTTTTAACAGTGCCAAAAAGTTTATTTGAAAAATGTGGAGTAAATGGGTATGGGCAAAACCATCTCTGCAGAGAGAACTTGGGCCAAACAAAGAAAAAAAGAGGGTAAAAAGCAAAAATAAAAGTACATGCCACATTTGAGAAAGACAAATTCATGCACAATACCCTAAATATTGCTCCTGATGAAGATTTGTCTTCCTTTTGCAAAATAGTGATTTTATATTATTTCTCAATCTTAAATGACACCTGCTGTGTAACTGAGATAATTTTTATTATATTGAAGTGAATTTAAATATCCACTTGATGTTTATCTTAGATGTTGATAAAAACAAATGCCTTTAGTACAAAGTAATATATGCAATTCAAACCTAATTTTAAAAAAAACTGAGACACAGTGAATATATTTTCTTGACAAATTCATCAAGGAAATCTATACAGTATTTAGTAAGATACCAGTGGGCCATGGGATGAATGATTAAGCCAGGAAGATGGGGCTTCATCATATGGAAGTTACATTTAGAAGATTCAAAAGGGAAGGAAAGAAGCTTCGAAGGATAATGGCACAGGATCAGAAGCCCCAGACCCTAGCTCTGGGTCTGCCACCAACTTGATAACCGCAGGCAAGTCCCTTTGGGCCTCTGGACTTCCACTTTCCCATTTATTCAAAGAAGAACTGGCTCAGCTCTAACAGAATGTAAGGATTCTGAGGGGCCTCAAGAACCCACATGTAGGGCTGGGGATTTGGCTCAGTGGTTCTGCTGCCTGCCATGCAAGCACAAGGTCCCAAGTTCGATCCCCGGTACCAAAAACAAAAAAAGGAACCCACACATAAGCTGGGTATGGTGCCACATGCCTGTAATCCCAACACCTTGGGAGGCTGATCACAAATTCAAGCCAAGCCTGGGCAACTTAGCAACTCAGCAAAACACATCTCAAAATAAAAAATAAAAGAAGGGCTGGGGACTCAATGCTAAAGCCTTGGCTTCAATCCTCATTACTGGACACATACACATACACATACATACACACACACACTGACCTGTTTGTGGCACTCATCCAGCAGGCAATGGATGATCTGCTCCAGTTTTAGCTGCATCGTAAGCTGGACAAGGACTGAGGGGATATAATGACATTACTGGCCAGAATACACTCCCTGACCCAGAATTCATATCTCACAGTGATTCACTGAGATAACTGGTATCTTTTCTCTCCCACTAAACTATGTCCCCAAATCCATGCAAAAGGATATCTGGATTCTTCATTGTTTTATATTAGTGGTTCTCAACTCAGGCTACACAAAAGAATCATGTAAGAAGCTTTAATAAAATATTAATGTCCAAGTCCTACCCAAGAACAATTAAATCAGAATCTTTATGTTTTAAAATATAGGGCCACAGGGCTGGGGATTTAGCTCAGTGGTTTCGCCACCTGCTGCGCAAGCACAAGGACCCAAGTTTGATCCCCGGTACCAAAAAATAAAAAATAAAATAAAATATAGGGCCACAGATTTAGCTCAGCGGCACCATGTCTGCCTCACAAGCGCAAGGTCCTGAGTTTGATCCCAGTACCAGAAAAACAAGAA